AAATTTGATGGTCGAAGGAAAAGACAATTTACAATAACTTTTATGAAGAACACTTTGCCAAATTCGGATTGCATCAATGTCAATTAATCCATTAAAAATGCTTGAGTGCTGCTGTCTACCAAGTCCACTAATCAATAATTAGCCGTTACATTAATTATCAATTACCATATGAATAGTTCTGAATTTTAGCTTATAAAAGAAGGAATTTATCATTCATTTAGGCATCTTGTTTTTCAGATCAAGATCATGTTCTTGCTCTCTCTCTTTATATTTTTGTAATGCTTAAGTTTTGCTTTCATTAATCTAAAGGTTTATTAATATCTTGTTAAGAGGTATTGAGCAGATATATAAATTTAATGAGAGTTTGTTTATCTGGATAGATTAATGGAAGTTAAATGATGAATACCTTGCTTTGTGGAATTTGCAAATTGTTTTTCTATTTTACGCTTTGATTACTAGGGATTGCACCGACATCTCTTTATCCTTGTGATTAGTACTTAAAAGTGCATTTTTATCATGGTTTTATATCATCATTTTGCACTTGAAGTATCAATAACTCCTTAACTAAAATATGTTTTATAATAATGTATCTAATAATATAAGATACCTATAATTTGTGGTAAATGTCTATTTTTAATGCAGGTCTATCACATAAATGAAAGGATTGATTGATGACTTGAAGAACTTAAATTGCAAGGATCAAGAGATGGCCAAACTTAGAAAAGAGATGTCGGTGCAATCCAAACCGAAACAGTGTTCGGTAATTGGGTCATATCTGGAGCTATATATCTCAGATTTAGTTCCAATTTATATGGATGGAAAGGTAAGACATAGGCCTACAACTTGCATATGGAGCCCAAGATCCTACAACTTTCATATGGAGCCAAAGATCTAAAAAGGCCATTTTTAAGTCCAAATTATAGCAACAACAAAGAAGCCCGAATCTGTTTTCCAGCCCGAGCACTGTTCAGTATTTTGGCCATATCTGGAGTTCTAGAAGTCCAAATGAGCTGAATGTTTTACACAAGAAAGCTGAGACAATTTTCTACAACTTTCATGTTTGCAACTGGCTCCAAGTTTGACGTTATCAATGACGTTTTGGGCAGACAAGAGAAGACAAGGATTGTCACCAAGTCAAAAGTTGGCCACCCACTTATCAATTAGTCATCAAATCAATAGTTCCCAATTTTAGCCTATAAAAGGAGGCATTTGCCATGCATTTAGGCATCTTGGTTTCCAGATCAAGATCATGATCTTCCTTTCTCTCTTTGTATTTTTTGTAATGTTTATGCTTTGCTTTCATTAATATTAAGTTTATGCCTTTCATTTCCTTTCCTTTACTTAGTTAACTTTTATGTTCTTATGTTGTTTATCTATTTTGCTTTCTTTCATTATGTCTAGCTGAGTTAGTTATGTCAAGGTGAAAAGGTTACACTAATGGTGTAAGAATAAGTATAATGTAAACTTAATATGGACTTTAATGTTTGATACTAACATGTTTTATATTTGCTATCTTGTTCACTCTTTAATACTTTGCTTGTTAAATGACTAATCTTGATTTATGTTGTATAACACTTGGTACAACAAATGCTTGGCACTTTCATAGCCCATAATGTATGGTATAACTGACACCTGAGCTATGAAAGGAACTTGATTTGTTGTTAACATAAGTTATAATCATAAATGCTTGACAAGATTTACAAGTACTAGCATTAATCGAATAAGATGACTAATGTAATCATGTTAACAATCTATAATCTGATTGGAACCCCCTTTATGTGTGGTTTCCAATTGAATAATAAGAGTTTATACTATACTTGTTTGACATACCATTAGTAGAACCTTTAACCTTGACATTCGTTATTATAATTGTTTAATCGTTACACTAATATTACATCTCAAAGTTCTCATCATCTTCTTCTTCTTCTCCTTCTTTTTCTTTATTATTATTATTATTATTATATTACTATTATTATTAGTATTACTACTACTACTAGTATTATTATTATTATTATTATTATTATTATTATTATTATTATAATTTGTACAAGTAACCTCCCTGTGGTTCGACCCATTGTTATTGTTATTATTAT